TCGCGCACTGCGCAGACAGACGAAAACGGGAATCACCTCGACGACGACAACGGCTGATAATTCAGATAAACTCGTAGACCGATAATTAATTGCGGAGAGCCGCTGCTCGGAAAGACGAAGAGAATTCGGGGAACCGACCACCTCTGGCGGCTAAACGACTAACTTCAAATTGTACGTTAATCGTTTAGTCGTAGACCGTAATGTGACGTAATGACGAAAGGGGAACGCGCGGCTAAACATTCTCTCCCCCATCATTACATCGGGTTTCCGATAAATTTTTCAGCTATTAATGCGTTCTCGACGTGGGACTTTAATGTCAGTGAATTATTGCTCAAGCCCAAGTGAGCCATTCGCTTTTTAATAATTATTGAGCGCATCGGCGCTCAATGGGTTGTGTCGTCGTTTGTCGAGGCGTTGCGATGTATTTGTTTGGTGGTAAAGGCACCTTGCGATAGGCTCGATGTTGATTTATTTATATTAAGGTTTGCGTTTTGTTCCGTAACGCGCTTATGCACGCACGCACGCACGCACGCACGCACGCACGAACCCAAACCTCACACGATATTCTTACTTTATCGTTGTTACGCGTCGCGTCCGCTTCGGGCCGTTCGATTTCCTTTGTAATTTTAATGATCAAATAGATTTACCTGAGATTTAATTTTATTAGAGTTGCATTAACATTAGAATTCTCGATGTCAAGTACGTAATGCCTTTACTCAAATAATTGGTTACAATTATTGTCGAATGCACGAGTCATCAAGGGGACTGACACATATTGAATGTATTATTTTTTTTCTTCATTTTCTTTCTTTTGAGCAGATAAGATAAATAAATGAAAAACGGCTTATCAAAAAACACGCAGCTGATTATGATAAAATTAATTTTTATAAAGATGTAACGGCAATGAAAGAACAATGTGAAAAGTTTCGTCCTACTATAATGTATTACAAGCCGTAAATTAAAAAATTGACATGTTATTTTTGTTTTAATGACGCTGTTTTTTTTTCTTTTTTTCATTTTTTCATTTTTTCTTTTTTTCTTTTTTTCTTTTTTTCTTTTTTTCTTTTTTTTTATCGTATCACATTCGTAGATCTATTGTTATATCGTGACTTTTTCTTCTTCTTCTTCTTCTTCTTCTTCTTTTTTCACGTACACATTTCATTGATCGTGCAATGTTCTTTCATCGCTTTCTAATTCTTGCGAGGAGGATGAGCATAAAAATAAAAAGGATCGCCAGCTTTAATCAATCGATTATTCGGTGAAACGCGTTGTTACTTTGGCGAAAATATGTGCATTTGCGCACCACTCTTTTTGTAAATGAATGAAATTACCAATAATAATAATATTTATATAAATATGAAAATAAGATTTTGTAATTTTAAAATTGTTAGCGAATGGGAATGTTTTGTAATTTGTATTTTATAAATAATCATGTAAATTAATCTTAAACTTTAAATGAAAATAAACAATTGTATGTACCCTAACCAGCACGTCTATTATGTAAAATTGTCGATTAGACCAAAATCGTTAGGAAT